CTCTCCACCTATCCTCTCCTCTATCCATCTTCTATCCGCCTCCCACTCTCTCCCTATTTATTTCAGAACCCCCTTCCCCTCCCCCTTTTGTGATGAAGGGTCTGGGCCCGAAACGTCAGCCTTTCTGCTCCTATGATGCTGCTTGGCCTGCTGTGTTCATCCAGCCCTGCACCTTGTTGTCCCTTATTCCTGGAACCATTTTTAAAACTTTTCTGCATCCTAACATCTTCACATCCTTCAAACAAGTGTCATTGCACAAAGCCAGACAATACTTCAGTTGAGACCAAAAATGTCTTTTACACAAGTCTGTCACAATTTTTTGTACTCTACACACTTACAGGGTAAAATTTCATAGTATTTAAAGAAAAACAATCAGATCTTTCATGTCCACCCAAAGATGGCAAATGGGGCTTTGGTTTAATAACTTACCCAAAGGCAGCACCAGCAACAGCAACAGCACAACCCATCACTCTTGAAAAAGAGCTGGAGTGTCAGCCGATAACTTGTCCCCAAGTATTTGAAGCAAGACCCAAATATACAAGTTACAGAGGTACTGCTAGCATTGTACTAAGGAAGGACTTAAGCGTCACAGGTGTCATCTTCTGGATGAGAGAATAAACCAACAGCTACTGCTGCCTGAAAACTGACTGGTGTGTTTCCCAGAACAGGACAGAGATCATAATTCTAAAGTGTTTCAACTGAAGCATGTTGAGCCCAGTCAAGGTACTACAGTATGCAGATTTTCTTTCATAAAGAGGGGGTTTGTTTTAAATTACATGACCAGTAGACAGGTTAAAAATACATGCTGGCCCATCAGACTGACTGCTAACTTACAGGCATGCACGGAGACTTTGAACACAGGGGTAAGAAAAAACTTGAAGAATTCAAGGGGTCAAAACATAGGCTACCAGACTGGACTACAGTGCACTGTCCAATCCCAGTTGGGCTGAACAGAGAGAAACTCAACTGAATCCTTATCAAAATGTTGAGCGTTTGCAGAACCCTGTCATCTTGTGCTGCGGGCCTTTACTTACACCCCACTGTTCAGCTTTGCCGTCAATTCTTTCTCTTTCTGTAGCAGGCTTTCGCGCACTGTGTCACACTCCAGCACACTCTGGAGTGCCTGTGTGTTATCGCCCACCACCTCCTGCTCCACATGCAAGATGCTGATGTGTGATGGGATGCGTAGGCTCCGCGCTGACATCATCTTCAGTAGCGTTGTTTTCCCTAAGCCATTCCGACCAACCAAGCCATAACGCCTGCCATAAGCGAGGTGCAAATCGGCGCCAGTAAGTAAGCTCCTGAAATGTAGATTGTTTGATAAGGTTTTAAATTTAGTATTTTAGTAGGTTCAAATAACTTTGAAAGATGTTAAAATAAGAATTGGATAAATGAAATTGAAGGGAAAATATTTGCAAAAGAGGAATGCAGGATAACTGGATTGCTGGTCATAGATATGACTTAGGCACAAGGGCTAAAGGATCTGTACTCTAAGAATATTTCTCCACTACCCTCTTAAAAACCACTACCCAGTCAGCTTTTTTTTTTATTTATCCTTTCAGGCAATGCACTGCAGATTGCAATTACTTGCTGTTTGAAAGTATTCTTATTTCATTTCATTCTTTTGCCAATTAGCTTTAAATTGTTTTGGTTGCTAACCCCGTTGACAGTGCAAGCTATTTGTTCTGTCAAAGCTCCTTCATTTTGAACACCGTTTAAAAATTACATTGAAGATAATGAACAATTAATCAAATCCACTGTGCCAAATATGGTCTTAACAAAGCTCTTGCTGCAATTCTTCCTTAATCTAATATTCTAGCCCCCTTGCAATAAAGGTCAACAGACATTGTGTCTTCCTTATTGGGTGCATTACTGGCAGGTTAACTTTGTTTCTTGTGCAAGGACACTTTAGTGCCTCCAAACATGATATTAAGTTTCTTCTCATTTAAAGATACTATATTCTTCTGAACAAAGGGAGTATAACATTGTCTCCAAACGTCACACAGCATCTTAGTTTTGAACTGCACTTTTTAAAGTCGGTCAATTCTGAGACAAATCATAGAAATGACAACATCATTTTATTATGGTTAAAACCCAAGAGGTTCCATCTAAAAGCAATACATCTGGGAAAGATTGAAGTTTGCAGTGGAGATATCTAGCAAGAAAAACAACTGAATGCAGCTCCAGCACAAAGTCTCGCAGCACGAGGCCTTACAGCTCACTGCATACAGGAGTCAGAGGCATAAGTATGGGAAACAATTTTGATCCAACTTATCCATGCCGAACAAGTTTCCCAAAACTAAACTAGTCCCACTTGCCTGCATTTGGCCCATATCCCTCTAGAACTTTCCTATTCATGCTCCTATCTAAATGTCTTTTAAATGTTGTATCTGTACCTGTATCTACCACTTCCACTGGCAGTTCATTCCAAATACAAGCCGCTCTCTTGAAAAAAGTTATCCGAGGTCCCTTTTAAATCTTTCTTCTCTCACATTAAAAATATGCTACCTACTTTTGAACTCACCTACCCCAGTGAAAAGACCTTTGCTATTCACCTTATCTATGCCACTCGTGATTTTAACCTTTATGAGGTTACCCCTCAACCTCCTATGCTCCAATGAAGAAAGTCCGAGCCTATCTCAATAACTCATACCTTCCAATCCCAGCAACATCCTGAAAAATCTTTTCAGAACCCTCTCCCCGCTTCATAATATTCCTTCCCATAATGGGGCAACCAGAACTGTACACAGTACTGCAAAAGTAGAACGAAAACAGAAACTGCTGGAAAAGCTCAGCAGGTCTGGCAACATCTGCGAAGAGAAAAATCAGAGTTAACGTTTTGGGTCCGGTGACCCTTCCTCAGAACAGGTCCTGTAGAACCTCAACATGACCTCCCAACTCCTATACTCAGTGGTCTCAGCAATGAAGGCAAGTACTATATGTCTTCTTAACCACCCTGTCCACCTGTGATGCAACTTTCAAAACACTATGTACTTGAAACCAGACGTCTCCCTGTTGGAGAACACTATCCACGGCCCAACTATTAACTGTATAAGACTGTTTTCTAAACAAGATATGTATTTAGCTTATTGTCATGACTTTTCCCCCACTTGGCTCACAATGTCTAAACCGATTTCTAACAATGTATCCCCTGAGGTGCTTTCAGCACATCCTTTCAATGTTTTCTTCATACATCTATAAGTTGTTCCACCCACCTCCCCACACCCCCCATCCCACACCATTGACCCTTGGTTTTCCTCGAAATTAACTAGTTAGACATTCCATGGCCCAAGAACCAGCTGCACTTCGAAAAAAAACTAACTTCTTCCTTAAATTTTTGGTCTCAAATATATCACCTGATTAGTAACACAGTCTAAGGGAACCATTTATCTGAAATTAATAAGCATGGCAGTTCCGTGCTGTATGACAGTGACTCAGAATATGCAATAAATGTTGAAACTGAGACTTTTCAAACTTTAGTCATTATTCAATATGCAATAGCAGTATTTCTGAGCTCTCACTTCTTTTTTTTAATTATTCTTTCTCAGGAACGGAGCTTCGTGGATAGGAGAGGCTTTTAGTGCTCTTCTCCCATTACCCTGTATTGGCTCAATATGAAAATGCCACAGGCACTTCAGGTGGGTGAAAGTAAAACATGTTAGTATGAACATGCAGGAATACAGCCTTAGATCAGGCAAGGACAGCAGGTTACCTTCCCTAAAGATACATCAGGCTACGAATTGAGTGTTAGTAATTTCATGGTCAGGCTTTCTTTGCATAGAATGGATATCAGAGGAACAGGTAATTCATTCCAAGTGAAATATTTTGATGTTGCTGCTCCATGTGAGCCTAGAATTTAAACAGAATCCAAATTCTCCAACTGCCATAGCAGGAACTGAATTAATTTCACCATCGGAAGTGGTACCAGCTGAATTGCTCTTGCACAGTCAGCATAAGAACAAAAGATTTTGATTTATTATTGTCACTGTACTTGCCTAAGTACAGTGAAAACTTTTGTATAGTGTGCAGTACAGGCAGATCATAACATATAAAGACACAAAGATCACAGGGTGATTGAACAGAGTGAGGAATACAAAGTTACGGCTACAAAGAAGGTACACAAAAAGCAAGGTCAACATTAGATTTGAAATTTGAGAGGTCCATTCAGAAGTCTAATAATAGCAGGGAAGCTGTTCTTGAACCTGTTGGTACATGTGTTTAAGCATTTGTGTCTTGTACCTGATGGAAGAGTTGTCAGAGATTATAACTGGGGTAGAGGGGTCTTTGATTATATTGGCTACCTTTCCAATGCACTGAGAAATGTAGATGGAATCAATGGATGGAAGGGTGGCTGGCATAATGGCCTATGCTGTGTTTACAACTTTTTATGGTTTCTTACAATCCTGTGCAGAACAGTTGCAAGCTGTGATGCATCCAGATAGAATGCTTTCTATGGTGCATCTATAAAAGTTCGAGAGAGTCCTTACAGACATGCCAAATTTCCTTAGCCTCCTGCGGAAGAGGCAGCCAAATGACCTCCATTTGTGTTTGTGATCATTCTATGATTCTGGGTCTAACCTGCATTTCATGCTTCAATGCATACTAATTGTTCACACAGCATTCTTATTGCTCATCAATAAGATAACTCCAGTCATGCACTATATGTTAAGTATAGTTCAGATAGTCAGGATCATTTTCCTGAACAGGTTGAGGTAATGGACATTTGGTGAGGACAGCAAGCCCCTCTGGACTACTGTGGTATCCAGCTTTTAGATGTAGGTAAGCCAGCAATCTTTGTTTGAATTTTCTGAGCATGGAAGTTGCAAAGGATATTCTTTGTGTAGCTGCAACTATTGTTACAATAACTATTGTTATTAGTACAGGAACTTCAGGTATAGAGGGATTTAGAAGATTATTAACTCAAACTTACAGTTGGCTCCTTGAAGCTCCATAGTACCCACCTCAGTTGCCATGAAGTCACAACAGTTGGGCATTCCTTGATTAGTCAATGGCTGCATAGATTGGATACTTCCTCGTTAATTATACCTGGAGACTATGCTGCTCTAAGTGGCTGACATTGTATTCATGCACAAAATCTGTGTTAAGTAACCATCTTTCAATCAGTGCAAATGGCTTGAGAAATAATCCTGCTGTACTCATGGCAGTATTTGCTGCAGTTCTGGACTTTGCAATTCCAACTATTTCTCTCACCCTGCCTCTAACTCATTGGCTGGTGTTAATATTCACACTTCTAGTTTATTCCATTTCACATACACCATTTCAGAGGTAATTGGACATCCTGTGGAGCGCACTTCTAATGCAAGGTTTAAAATGCTCCACAGGGCATTTTAACATCTGCAATATCAAATTGGTTGATCAAAAACTAATTAAGCACCTGATGGTACTTCCACTGAACATAATTCTCCTACTGGTCTCAGTGAAGACTTTTGTATAGACATGGAATGCGTTGAATATGCAGATTAGTCCAGGTACTAAGAGATTCCACAAAAGTTCTTTAGCTCCATATACCTCATGTTGCATTATTGAGCAAAGACAAAAAGAAAGATTTACCCAACAGCAGTTCCCGACATAAATGATATAGCAGTAATCCAACAATCCCTGTGCCCTGCCATCAGGTGTGTTCTTTCATAAAAAGCCTGCTACAATGGATTACAGAGATGCAGAACACAGCAAAGCTGCAAACATATGGATACACACAATCAGAAACAATGAGAATTCCCAGGCCTCCTCTTGTCCAAAGCCGACCAAAATTCATTACACAATCCATGGGTGCTACTAAAAGAACAGGAGTTTTATACTGCATATATGATTAACTGCCACACAGCACCACCCTATAGGCAGCTCAGGTCTGTGGACATTGGGTCTGTAGACATTTAATCGATCAGGGGAAGTCACATGACTGGGGTGCCCACACAGGCAGCGTGGTCAAGAGTAGTGAGCAAGCAAATTAATAGTTGCCAGAGGTAGGCTTGCTGTCCAAGTGGATGCCCAATTATCTTGAAGGAAAGGGCAGGGAGATAGCTGAAGTATGTTAATAAGAAATAAACTTGGATTAGAACATGCAGAATCCACGTGGGTGGAGGTAAGAAATAACAAGGGGAAGACAACACTGGTAAGAGTAGTCTATACGTCCTGTAACAGCAATTGTTATGTAGGGCAGCAAATAGATCAGGAGATAATAAGGGCATGTCAAAAAGACGGTACATTAATCATGGGTGACTGTAATCTTTATCTAGATTGGGAAAGGCAGATTGGCAGAGGTGACCTCAAAGGATTCGTACAGTACATCTGGGATAGATTCCCAGAATAATATGTTGTGGATTCAATCAGGGATTAGGGGATTTTGGATCTGGTGATGTGCAATGAGGCAGTTTTAGGTAATGATCAGAGTAGAAAAATCTCATGGAAACAGTGATCATAACATGGTAGAATTCAGAATTCAGTTTGAGGAGGAGTAACTTAGGTCATAAACAACTGCGCTACATTCAAGCATAGGTAATTACAAAGGAATGAAGGCAGAAGTAGCTGCAGTAGACTGGGAAAGGAATTTAGCAGCAATGCTAGTTGACAAACAACATTTAAGAAAACAGATCATGGTTCACAACAACGATATATTCCAGTCAGAAAGGAGGATTCTAGGATGGGGATAAGCCAACCATGGTTAACAAGGGAAATTAAAGATAGTACCAAATTGAAAGCAGAAAACAAAATACTATTAATCTCTGCCACAATGTAAGACAGAGGATTGGTAAAGTTTTTAAATAATCAAAAAGACGATAAACCTTAAGGGTAAACCACAAGAACTTCTTTAAATATGTAAAAAGTAAGAGAGAGGCCCAAATTAACACAGGCCACTTAGAGAATGAGGGTGGAGAAATAATAATGGGAACCTGGAAATGACAGAAGAGATAAATACTTTGCATTAGTCTTAAGAGCAAGAGACACTAATAGCATTTCAAAAATACTAAATAATCAAAGGCAAAAGAGAGGAAAGAAATACAACAATTAATCACTAGAGAAAAAATGCTAGTGAAACTAATGGGGCTAAAGGGTCCTGAATCTGATGGGATGCACTCTACGTAATTAAAAGAAACAGCTACAAAGATAGTGGAGGCACCGGTAGTAATCTTCCAAGAATCCTTAGATTCTGGAAAAGTCCCAGATGATTAGAAACCACCAATGTAGCATTTTTATTTCAAAAGGGAGGAAGACAAAAAAAAAAAAAACAGGTAATTACAAGGCCAATTGGCTTAATATGTGTTAATGTTGCAGTCTATAATAAAAGATGCAAATAGCATAGCATTTAGAACTATAAAGTATTATCAAGCAGTCAGGCATGGCTTCCCAATGGGAAATTTATTAGAATTCTTTGAGTTAAGGAGCAGGATAGATAAACTGAAAGCAGTGGATGTAATATATTTGAATTCTTAGATGGCATTTGATAAGTTGCCTCACTTGTGGTACCTTAAGAGTCCACTATTTTGAAGGAAATATATCAGCATGAATAGACCATTCGCTAACTAATAGAAGATAGAGAACTGGGATGACGGGCATTTTCAGGACAGCAACCTATAACTAATGGAGTGCCACAAGGGTCGGTGCTGGGGACACAATTATTTACAAGAAACAGGAAAGTGAATTTACCACGGTCAAGTTTGCACAAGACAAAAATAGGTGGGAAGGTAATATTAAGGATGACCCAAAAGAGTCTGCAGAGGGATAAAGACAGGTAGAATGGGCAAAAACCTTGACAGACGGAATATAATAATGGGAAAGTGAGAAGTGATACACTTAAGGAACAGGAGGAGCTGAATATTATTTAAATGGTAAAGGATTACAGAAAGCTGTAGCATGGAGGAATTTCAGAGTCCTTGTGCATAAATTTCAAAAAGTTAATCGATAATAGGGGAAACAAACAGGATATTGGCCTTTATTTCCAAGGAAATGGAGTATACAAATGAAGTCTTGCTAAAAGTATGCAATGCACTAGTTGGACCACAGCTGAAATATTGTGAACAGTTTTGGTCTGCTTAAGTGAAGAAAGGTATAGTGGCATTGGAGGCAGGCTAGAGAGGGTTTTACTAGGTTGATCCTCGGTGTGGAGGGAATGTCTTCTGAGGAAAGTTTGAGTACTTTGGGCCTGTACTTACTGAGAGAGGCAACCTTATTAAAACATACAAGATTCTTAGAAGCCTTGACAGATATGGCTATGTTGCATCCCCTTGTGGAAATGCTGTGATTATTTGCATACAGAATACAAATGACAGAAAGAGCAAACACTTAAGCTAGTTGGCATCTATATTCACCACATAATACAGGGGACTTAAGTGTTGTTTCGCCTCAAGGGACAGTACATCCAGATGGCTAAATCTCAGAGTAAATGATTACCTATTTAAGACACAGTTGAGCAAGAATTATTTTGTCTCAGAGGGGGGTAAATCCATGAATTCTTTACCATTAAAGCTTGTAAAAGGTAGATCGTTAGACACATTCAAGGCTGAGATAGACAATTTTTTAATCATTATGTGAATCAAACAACTTTATGGGGAAAAGGCAGAAAAGTTGAGTTGAACATTATCGGAATAACCATGACTTCATTGAATGGCAGAGTAGACTCAACGGCTTGAATAGCTAACTTCTGTTCTTGCATCTTATACTGCAAAGGGAGTTCGAAGAAGGATTTTATGGAGAGACAATATCAAACATAAGACCAAGGATAGACAGACTGCATTGTGGAGCAAATATACCATCTCACTGATTTCCACTTGCTTTCTTAAAAGCATTATTAAAACATTGCTTGCATGTGGCATTGTGAATTTAACATTAATGATATGAATGGTCATTTAGATAGATGGAATGTGAGATTACTAATCCATTTGAAGAGGTGCCCTTTAATTAAGAAATGCTCAAGAACGACTGATCTTTGGACAGCAGAAGTAGAAGCATTGGTGTTGACCATTGTGTCGTTGCTAAATTGTCAGGCTCCTCATCAGGCACCTAGCATTTTGCCAGTATATATACTTTGAAAATTAATAACTGGGAAAAATCATAGTCATTGTCTTTGCTTCCCAGACAAACTTGATGCCCTACCTGCCAACTCCATCCTTCTCCCGAGCAATTGTTCAAAGCTGAACCAAGCTATTTACAAACTTGATCTCACGTTTGACCCCAGGCTGAGCTTTCAAATATTTGTTCATGCCATCATTTCTCCATCTATGACACTGTCTAACTCCCTTTCCCAGTTCATCGGCTGTTGAAAACTTTATCCACGGTTTTGTTACTTGTTGATTGGTCTATCTCAACACACTCCTGGCTGGCCTTCCATATTCCAAGTTTATAACATTATGATGATAATACAGCTTTAAGAGGTGTATTTGGTCCTGGTGTATCTCGGAAAGGTTTTAAGGCAGAGCTACGGAACTGTCTAAGAAAGCTCAAAGTAAACAGTTTGAGGCTTTAGGGCTTTTTTTAAAAAAAAAAATTGGAATGATGGAAGCAGCCTGAACGGATAGGGACAAATTCCTACAAAACCAGGATTTTTTGTTTCAGTAGCAGTTGTTGCTGGGCTCACAGCAGGATTTGGAAGGTGCAGTACATCTCTTCTTGCTACACTCTCCTCTCTTGGTTACACCCAAAAGCTGGGGGTTCCCTTCCAGCTGCTGGAGTTGCATGTGAGACAATCTGTTTTTCTGAGTTTGCCTTTCGCTAAGGCCGTGTTTATAGGATGTTATTATATTGGAACCGTTACCATTGGTAGTAAAATGATCTATTATTCTGTTAGGTTTTCCAATGTGTTACAGCTGATGCCAATTCATTTCTTTACTTCTCTTGTTGGACTTTAACAATACTATATGAATAAAGTGTGTTTTGCTTAACTTTGGGTAGTTTGACCCATCAAATTGCACCTGGAATGCAACATCTTACACTTACCTTTAAAAATAAGAAAAAAGTTAGGGTCAAGGCTATCTTCTTAATATATTTTGAGGGGATTTGGTCTGGTCCATGAAAACATACCTACATTGGTAGTTATCTGTGAAATGCCTTATAATATTGAATGCTCCAGAATAAATACAACTTATGAACTGTTGTTGTACAAGCATGGATGTCCAGAAGAAAAGGAAAATAAAAAAGTCACTATTCCATAAACCGTTGCACAAGGAAAAGATGCCACAGCATCTCAAACAAGGATTATTAGACACAACATCCAAGAACTGCTCAGTAAAACACAAAATCCAGAGTTCACCTTTCACCATTCTGCAAGTCACACAACATTATAATAGTTGAAAAACATGGCCATCACTATCAATTAGAACTAAATACGTTCAGTGCTCAGTAGCAGTGGCAACACTCACCTTTCTCCATACGAGACATCAAAATTCTCAATCTTGATATCATATGACTTGTTCTTTCCTGATGCTTCCAAACGGCTTTCCTTCTTGTTTGATGCTTGGCTGGCTGAGGCTTCCTCAAGAATCCTAGAAAAATATGAAAATGCAACCTTTTAGCCAAAAGCTAAAAGTCAGAAAAGTTAGTACTGGATAAGCATTAATCACTGCATAGTTCACCATTGCCTTCATAACATAAGTAGGATCTCAATGAGAACACTTTTTGGAGTGTTGCGTTGACGCACACATTTCTCAACACTGCCAACTTTTGACCTCACCTATAATCACAAGAGATGTCAACGTGTAGAGCTGGATGAACACAGCAGGCCAGGCAACATCAGAGGAGCAGGAAAGCTGATATTTCAGGTCTGGACCCTTCTTCAGAAATGGGGGAGGGGAAGGGAAGGGGACTCTGGAATAAATAGAGAGATGGGGAGGTGATGATGGAAGGTGGATAGAGGAGCAGAAAGATGGAGAGAAGTAGGACAGGTCAAGGAGGCAGGGATGAAGCCAGTACAGGTGAGTGTAGGTAGGGAGTTGTGATAGGGGTTGGTCAGTTGGGAGGGAGGGGTGGGTAGGTGGGAAGGAAGATGGGCAGGTCAAGGAGGCGGGGATGAGGCTAGTAGTTAGGAAGTGGGGGTGGGAGGAGCGGATAGGTGGGAGAAAAGACGGACAGGAGAGATTTTGAAGTCCACATTGAGACCATTGGGCTGCAGGGTTCCCAAGTGAAATATGAGGTGCCGTTCCTGCAGCCTTCGGGTGGCATTGTTGTGGCACTGGAGGCGGCCCAGGATGGACATGTTGTCCAAGGAGTGGGAGGGCGAGGTGAAGTGGTTCGCGACTGGGAGGTGCAGTCGTTGGTCACAAACCAGTGTAGGTGTTCCACAAAGCTGTCTCCAAGCCTCTGCTTGCTTTCCCCGATGTATAGGAGGCCACATCGGGAATCCACAACAATGCCACCCGAAGGGAGGAACAGCACCTTGGTATTTCGCTTGGGAACCCTGCAGCCCAATGGTCTCAATATGGGCTTCACAAGCTTCAAAATCTCCCAACCCTGACCACATCCCAAGGCCAGCCCAGCTCGTTTATTTCAGAGTCCCCTTCCCCTCCCACATTTCTGAAGGCGGCTCCAGACCCGAAACGTCAGCTTTCCAGCTCCTCTGATGCTGCCTGGCCTGCTGTGTTCATCCAGCTCTACACCTGGATTATCTCAGACTCCAGCATCAGCAGTTCCTACTGTCACTAGAGATGTGGTTGAATGGCCCTGTCAATTGTTCTAGACAATAGAAGATGTCCTTACAATCGAAGATGCACAGATGTCCACCGTTTTCTTATTACTAACAATGAGACTATCATAACCCTATAATACGCATATTCTTTTATCTTCGTAATTAAATGGTTATCAAACATCACTAAATGGTATAGTTAATTGAGCATTAAACACAACTTGTGGCCAATGCACGTTTCAGTAGCTGTGTGAATAATTTTCTCCCAATCTTTGTCTTTCTTTAAATGCTTATTCAGAGATTATGATTTTACGACAAGCCTTCGCATTGCTACCATATGCTCCTTTGCGCACACTTCAGTGTTAGAATTTTCTCCTTCTGAAAATAAAAATCACAAAAGGCCCTTTTTACTACCAACCCATCCTGAAACTCTGACATTCTTTACACTTTGGTTCCCTGCCTGGTCTGCACCATCCCCTCAACTCTCTGTTCAAATCTCACTAATTCAGCTTCCACTCTACCAAGAACTCCAAAAAGACATGGGTGACATTGACTGTCACCATGATGCATTACCCTCCTTTGTCATCTACACAACCGTTGATATGGCTGTCCACACCATACTCCTTTGGTCCCCACCCTCCCTTGTCCAGCTCCACATGACGGCCTTGCTTGGTATCACACTTATAAACATCAAACATGTCAAACAAACAATAACTGTTCTTTCTCCAAAGATCCATGTTTCACACTGACATCGAGTAAGCCTCCATAGTTAGGGCAACAGGTACATTAACAATCAACATCAACATCCACATCCACCTCCTTTGTGCCTGTGCTGTCAGGCTGTTTGTTCCAGATTACATGGTTACCTTGTCTGGAGATGCTCTCTCTCAAGCTGACTTGTAGTTAATCGCTTAAATTGTTGGTGCGGCCTATGTTTATTTTATCCTACCTGATAGTAGAGAATGTGTATGCTCATTATCGTATCAAGTTTGTCTGTTCCATTTCTGAACAACATTATGTCAGCACCTATTGTGCATATGAAATCACACAATTTGGTTTATGGAACTGGGAATGACTATTCGTGCTGACCATGAGAAAAAAATCTGGCAAAACGCTAAAGTCAAACAGTGCAGACTGTTGGATTTGGATTACATGGTTTGTACCACATCATACAATGCATTCAAACAGTCAGTCAAAAGGGGTATTAGATATTCATTTCCAGTTATTAGTGAGGAAGAGAGATCAGTAACACATTTACTGCACTGGCTTTTCATCTCAGAGATCTGCGATTGATTCCAGCTCGGATTAATGGTATAAATATCCTATGTTGGACAGTTCAAAGAACCAGCAGCTTGGGCAAGTAGAAATAATTTACAAATTTGGCACCATGAATAACCGACAATCTGCTCTTTTAAAATAAAGAGCTTGACCACAACATAAAAAGAAAACATCAACATTGTACAGCAGGAATTTATTTCTAATTTCTCTTGCAAGAAAGTTCTGAAAGTGTCAGTGCAGAAGCCACTTCAAAGCACACAGCTCCAGAAGAAACCACACTTCAAAGGAGTCTTTGAAGTTAATCCATTAACCTGACGCAATTTGATGATTTTTAGGGCAGAAAGTTGTTGGAGGTCCATGCAAGAAGAAAATTAGACAATGTGTGACAAGACTGTACATTTTTAGCATTCAGATCTTTGAGATATTTTCATTTTATTTGAATTACCTGAAAATAAAGTAACATCTTCAGATAGTGTTAAGCAACAACACACAACATTCAGGCGTTCAAAGCAAATGCAACCATATTTCTATCCATTTTGATGACCAATGGAAGCAATGGAACTTCGCCTAGGCAAAGTGACCTTCCATAGATGAACGAGTGTCAGCAAAGGAGAACACCATACCTTAGAAGCCCATGAATCAGCTCAGAGCATTCCAGGTCCTTACCCATGCCCAATTCACATGTCCCTGACTCCTCTCTGGAAATAGTAGAGGGAAACTGCTTGCCAACAACAGTGGCAATGGGAAGCGGACACAACACAAACAAAAGTTCCACTGGGTGATTTCAAAAGGGTAAAACATGTGCTTAGCGGAGTTGAAAAAGGTAGTAGTTTATTTACATTTGATAAGAAAATAAATATTTGAAAAATGGCTCTGGACTCTATGTACTGTACTTCCTCACACTAATACACCGGTATTATTCTGACAGATGAAAAGCACAAATAAGTCATCTCCTCTTTTAGCTAAAAGCAATGCCAGTCTCCTGTCACAACAAGACTGAAATCACTTGCTTAACTTTGAGAACTGGGACTCGACAGGTCCTCTAACATTCATGAGCTAGAATCAATACAGCAAAACAAATGAGGTCTGTAATAATGCTCCATTTTATAGAGATAGCAAAAACTGCAGTTGTTGGAGTCACAGTTGACACAGTGTGGAGCTGGAAGAATACAGCAGGTCAGGCAGCAGAGGAGCAGGAAAGTTTACATTTTCGGTAGGGACATTTCAGAAGAAGCCTGCTGTGTTCTTCCAGCTCCATACTGTGTTAGCTCCATTTTATAATTTGTTTTCAATAGTTCAGTGTTGCATTAGAGGGGTAAATGGAGATAAATGTAACACAGTGGAAGAACGTTGCAAGGCATGATTGGTTCAGATGTAACAGTTACTCAGACCTATTCAACCACGTGGATTAATTACAATCACAGCACATTAACAACTCCTCGCAGGAAGAAGCATTCAAATGTATTGGCCATGTGATTCTACACAGGAGCAACCCAACTACCTTCTGCCCATTTCCTCAGAGCCGGGAACCACAGAACTGAAAACCAGTTAACCTGACATCTGTTGTGATACAATTTGTGAAGTCTATAATTAGAGTGACTGAAAGCTTTGAAAATCTTCAGCTCAGACAGCCACACTCATCGGTAATGGATAAGTTGCATCTGATAAATTTCAATGAACCTTTTGAATCTGTTACCAAAGGAAAGGCCTGTGGATTTATTTATATGGACTCCAAGAGTTCATTGGGTTAAGTCCCTCATGAGAGACCATTAGATAAAACTGAAGTTCATTAAAAGCAAATTATGAATTTATTTCCAAGAATAAAACTATAGGGATAAATTAATAGATTTAGTGAAAGGGTAAAACTATGGAAAACGGATTTCAATGCAGGCAAATTTGAGGTAATATGTTGTGGAGCTGGAGGAACACAGTAGGTCAGGTAGCATCAGAGCAGCAGGAAAGTCGACGTTTCAGGTAAGGGTGTAAACCTGAAATGTCGACTATTCTGCTGCTGTGATGCTGCCGGACCTGCTGTGTTTCTCCAGCTCCACACTATTGACTCTGATTCCAGCATCTGCAGTTCTTGCTATCTCCAAATTTCAGGTAATTCATTTAAGCCTAGAAAGGACAGAACAAGATGGTTTCTAAATGGAGCCAAGCTAGAAACTATGGCAGAAAACATGTCAAATACGTGAATTCGACATATAGAAAGGCAAGGGCAGCAAATGTATGGCAACATCACCACTTGCATGTTTCCCTCCAAGCAACTTTAAAAAAAAACTGAAAGCCTTCAAAATGTCTGGGAAAAGTCAATCACAGATGGCCAGAGAAAGGTCTGCTCATGCATGGGGGACAATCTAGGAAGAATTGCTCGCTGTCATACTACTCCAATTACAGGTTTCCTCTCTATCATTGGTCCTCAGAATGCAGAATCCATGGCTGAAGGAGCATCACAACAGTAGAGAGGAAACCCCTCCCCAGTGACCTGTGGTGAAGTGGAACACAGAACAGGACAGCAGCAGCCCTGTAGGTTAAAGGCTCTAATTTTTAATTTTCTGTAATTTTTTAATCATGGACTTAAGTGAGAAATAGTCTGTTAACAACCAAGAATTGTGGAAGGGATTACAAACAGGTTACCAACACTCATCAAAAGTGCTGTTTACACTACTGTTCGTTGAAGCAAGGAAGGGTTACTGGGATAAGCTGGAGCTGGGGACCGCATTAAGTGAGATCTGGGCAGCAATATATAGTTTACTGGTTGTGGAATGGTGTCCAAGCGTTGATGCTAAATGCCTTCTGTCTACCAACAACTACGCGATTGCCTGCATTGAATTCAGATAACTGAACAGCTTAATGGTGATAAGCAGAAAACTTCAGACATCTGAAAAGGGAGGTGCTGTCTTTTCTCTGTAGTTTTAAAAAAAATTCTAAAGCCTGAAGAAAGCCAGTTTATTTTCCCTCACCAGTTACTGTAAGATATGGCTTTTAATCAAAAAGTCAGAGTTTAAAAGTTGTGAACCAGTTGGTGGCAAGCCAAAGGGATCAATCTTATCAAACCCAGTGGTCAGTGACCAATGAGCTGCCTTCCCAGTTTTATCATCCACCCAAAACACCAAATTTTCTTTGTGTTTGCCTGTTTGTATGCATTTGTAGGGGGAGTTTAGAGTTTTAACTGAGTCAAATATCAGAAATTGCTGGAAAAACTCAGCAGGTCCGACAACATCAGTGGAGAGAAAGCAGAATTAATGTTTGGGTCCAGTGATCATTCTTCAGAAGTATTAGAGTAGTTGTTAACTAGTAGGGTGTTATATTGACAGTTCTTTAACCGTAGCTAGGATCTTTTTATTTGTGATAAATAGCAACTCTTGTGAACTGCAGAAATTTGGTCTGTGATTTCTGTAAACCTGGGTCTAAAAAGGCAGATAACTTGAGGAATTTTGCAAACTAAGAAAATCTTTAGTTTTGTGATGACTCCAGAAATAGTGCAGCTTGATTTTCTGCAAGCATACCCAGCACTAGATGACAGTGCACAGACAGTAATGTGGGAAAGCGCAGCTGAGCTCAGACAGCAGTCTAGGGATGTGTTCAGTGCACCGTGAGCCATCCAGGGTTGAGGACTAATTAACGATTTCATAGCAAAGGTGTCAACAGATGGTAGCGACCATAATATGATGCATTTTAAATTCAGCTCAAGATGGATGGATGGCGATGAGTTTAACTGACAGTCACCATGCCTCAAGCAGCTTCTGAAACTGAGAAGGCAGGGCCTTCATGGTGACCTCAGCCAGTATGGGAATTCAACCAAGCTGTTCATGTCACTCCACAATGTCAAGCATCCAACCAGGCAACTGATTTACTGAACGTGAAAAACTGGAGCTCCATTCCCAAAAAGCAAAGAACCGTGGATCAAATCAAACTTTCAAAACAGAGCACTGGATTTTTGTTAGCTAAAGGTGTCAGACACTAACAAAAAACAGGTAGAAGGAACTGAGATACAAACAAGCCATGATCTAATCAAATGACTGAATAAACCAGAGGGACTGATTGGCCTCCACTCATTCCGATGTTCTCGACACAATAGCCAGGCAGGGTTTTAGGTGCAAACCCTTCTTTAGGGCTGGAAAGTAATATATATTGACAGCATTTAATAAGTAAGATAGAGATATCCTTTGCAAGGTTGAACAACTTGAGCTTATTAACATTGTTTTCACATTCCACATACTCCAACAAAGACACTGAATTCTCAGAGCAAAGCTCAGTTCTGTACACATTCCAGTTCCGCAGTTCCAGTACTTACAATGGATTTGCGGTCTTCTGCGAGTTCTTCTCCGTCCTCTTTTCTTGCTTTGCTTTTAGCCGCGCTTCAGCTTTCTCCAGTTTCTTAGCATCTACCGTCTGAAATTACATGACATTAAAGCAAAAGAAAATAAAATTCTTATTTTGCATTTAGATATTCTAAGTTATATTACCACCGAAACTGGGATGATCTGAATACTTAGAGTCCAAGACATAACAAATCAATAAATTTCAACACTAATATCTTCATTGGCATTTTTCATCAGACGAAACAGTGAGACGAGCGAGCAAGCAAGAATCTTGGCTGTTTTCTTTCCTCCCTAAATCTGGGTACTGAACTGAAGCTATTAATTGGGATTCAATAACTCAGCACAGGCATTTATCTAGATAATACTAGGATTCTGTTTGAAGGATTGGTTCCAGGATACTGTGTTGTTTTTGCTATGAAATAAGAAAAATTAGGGGCATTCGGTGATGGGCTGCAAAGTCAGGCTGACAGAGACATGATGCAGTCAGAGTTGTAACAGTCAGTCAATGGAAAGGATTAACTTTTCATTGCAAGAAAGGCAGGTAAAAAAACTCATTTTGAAGCCAGTACTTAATGCAATTATTACATTAAGTTCATAGTATAGACAGAACAGAAATGCCATTAGGACATTGGTCTTTCTTGATGTTTATAACACACAAGTCTCCTGTCATCTAGTGCTTTAATTAAGCACAGGATTGAAGACTGCGACTTCCTACTTAGTAAGCTACAAGTTTCCCAGGAACAATTCCTGAATAGTCTGGAATTGAAGAGTCATCCTCTAGATTGCTGTTAGCAATCCGGGAACAAATTATCATTGGGATGATTAAAGAAAAGCAGTACGCATTATGTTTAATTTTCTTTGAACATTTTTGTCTATTAGCTGTAAAACATGCAGATTGCTGTTTTACCAGGAGGGGCTGTTTGAGACAGGAGATAATCATCCAGGAATACATCAAACCAGAAGTGACAAACCCCATCACTCATTGCGGATGCTGTAAATCAGGGAATCTGTGGAAGGGTCACCGGACCTGAAACCTTAACTCTGATTTTTCTTCAGAGATGCTGCTAGACCTGCTAAGCTTTTCAAGCAACTTCTGTTTTTGTCCTATTGCTCAGTACTTTCTTTTTCCAGTTTTGAAATAGCTGGGGTGGAAGTGTGTGGAGAGTAACTGAATCACTTAAATTTCAAAAGCAATTTCTTATGCTAATATTTCTGAATTGTCACCTTAGCTCAGTTGGTAGCAATCTCATCTATGGACGATGAGATTTGGGGGTAAGTCCCACTCTCAAGACTTGCACATATTATTCCAGCTGACACTTCAGCACAACATTGAGGAAACATTAGCAGTGCCATCTTTTGGGTTTGCTGTAAAAGCTTAGGCAAATGCAAAAAAATTTGACAGCACTATTTCAATAGCATCAGGGTCCCAGAGACTCTCCAGAGTATTCACCAATACCAAAACGAGATGGTCCAATGTAATATCTGAAAGCTGTTTATAGGAGCTTTGTGCGTATTTGTACTTTAACACTGACTAGACTTTAAAAGCACTTCATTGGGCAAAAAGCACTATGTCCTCGGATCACAAAAGATATTAAAAGAAATGCAAGGACTCTGGTGCTTTCCACAACATCAATATGACAAACTTCTGTTTTATCAAATTCAAACTGTTACAGTTGTACAGCAAAATGAGAGATTAGGTAGTTGGTCCATGATTAGATGTATTGAAATGGAGAACAGAATTAATTTTCAGTCAGTAAAGTTACACATTAAGCCATTGGGGAATTTTAATGAATGCCTTCTATTTTAGCAGTTTGTCTACAGTGTAAGAGAAGTGCCTCAATGAACAAGCAATTATCACAATACAAACTCAAACAAAGAAATGATAAGTGTCAGCAATTAAATGCTCCATGTTGTCTGAGAGAAGTCTGAAGCAATTATGCTACTGTTACACAATTTCCTCAAGTGCCAGCTTGGCCCAAAAGTACCACTGGCTTATGTTTCAAGTGCCTATGTAGACATTTTAGTGCATAGTTTACGTAGAAATCTCAGTTAAAGTTGATTAAGATGAGAGAGCGCTGCACCATCAGACATGACATCTGCTTAATGATCTTTGAAACCAAAGTCCTGCCAAGTAAAATAATATAATCAGAATGAGTAGCAGACTAGAACCTCTTGCTTCTCTATCTCAATCAAATCCACTGAAAATAAAGATTGGGCTAATTATTAGTGCTGTTTGGGATATCTTATATGCAAAAATTAGCCATGGAACAATACTGACAGTGCTCAAAAGCGAATTCACTAGCTGAAAAGCACTTTGGTATGTCCTGAGAATGTAAAAGGAGTCAAGTGGTGTCTAGAGCCTACAAGGTAAGTTGGAGAAGTGTGCTCCACAGGCCAAAAGACTAAGTCAACTGAGAAAATGCAATTCATAGTTTGGATGAGTTTCTCACTACCCACTTCTCTCTCTCTAATTTACTTTTCTTCGATAGAATCACAGAAGACGATCGTAACGATAGTTGTTGTTCATTGGGCTTGTGCTGACTCTATGGAAGAACTCTCCAATTAGTCTCACTCCACTGCACTTTCCCCACAGCCCAGTCAATTTCCAAATCCCCTTTGAAAGTCACCAACCTCCAGATCCCAACAACCTGATTATTTGCCAAATATCTTTTCCTCACATTTGCCAATAACTTGAATTTTGCCCTTCAACCATTAGAAATAGTTGCTATACATCAAGACCATTCATGATTTTGAACATGTCCTCAAATACCTGCTTAATGCTCCTTGCTCTAAGGGGAATAATGTTCAGGGGAACTCCTGGTCTGGAGTACATGAGATTCCAGACCCCCAGCAATGTCATTAACTCTTAACTGTCCTCTGAAATTCTAAGTAAGCTGTTCAGTTCAAGGACAATTTGGGATGAGCAACAAATGCCAGTGTTCCCACATCCCACAAAAGAACAAAAAGCACAATTTCCTTGCTTTTGCAATCTATGAACCTGTTAAAGTCAAGTTCGCAGTAATAGTCAACTCATCCTGCCACCTTCAAAGACTTACTACACATATTTCCCCAGAGGTCTTTATTCCTGGGACAGTACTCCCAAGTTTCATGTTCTATGTGCTCATTTTTCCAATGTATCAGTTAACATTTCTCGGTGTTAAACTTCAATTGATAATTTCATTTTGCTGAAATGGTCAGACAGTGTGTGAATAAAATCTGTTACTCTCCTTGTCAATGATCTGAAGAACAGTCACTGGACTCAAAGTTAGCTCTGCCTTCTCTTGACAGATGCTACAAGACCTGCTGAGTTTCTCCGGCAATTTCTTTTCCAGGTCAATGCTACAAGATCTATCAGTGGTTCTAATAATATTTCTTGACAATGTACATTACATACTCTGCATTCACAGATTAACTTCACAAACATTTTGACTGTTGGCTTCAGAGCTTAGAATGTAAGAACTTTGGCTTTTCTGTGATCAATTTCAAAGGTAGAAATCTACTTAAGATGTATTGCCTCAGAGAAAGTAGTCTACTCTGAAAAATAGCTTCACTCACCGTGCCTAAATCCCTTCTCATCATCCAGATTCCTTTGACATCTTCAGTCTTGTGGTCTGCACCCAGCATACATTTAAAAAGAGAAAAAAAAACAGAATCCATTCTTTTCCTATAAATGCATCACATACATTGTAAAGGTCAACATAGCGCAACTTCAACACTGATCTGCTACTGGCTAAGCTCATTTGGGTAAAAGTACACTTTGGCAAGCAGTCAGACAACTTCGGCTATTGGGGTGGGGTAGCACAACTGGCTTCAATGCAATCAAACACCCATTTCCTATTTTCTGCACGATAAGCCTCCACTCAGCTGTAGAAACAACAGCCACAGATTTAGAATGTGCACGTAAACACAAAATGGAGTAAGTTTGGTCAGCTACGACCAAATTGACACGTGGGAATACAACAAAATCACAATCAAAGTGTGCCTTAAAAATGGGAGCTTAATAAAGGTTGCAAAGAATTCAAAAAACCCAAGTCTTTGAGAGTGTGCTGGGCTGGGCAGTACTGAGCATGGAGGATATATAATGAAGAAAAGATTGGACATTGTTAATGGACAAAGAGAGAATCTATTTTGTTTGATAAGGTTTGTTTGAATAGGGTATACCAACAAAAACTGTTTTCACTTGTGATGGTATAAGACTGGAGACAAAAATTTGGAGTTTTAGATAAGAAATGCAGAAGGAATACATGGAAGTTTTTTTTTAAAAATGTGGGAAGTGGGTATGACTCAGAACTTGCTGCCCTCCAGGGTAAAGAAAGCAGAGGGAATCAATGATTTTGGAAGGTCAATAAATGGGCTTGCAGGTCTACAGGGATCAAGTGAATAGTAGGACAGACTTTGTTTATTCACTTGGATGTGGGTGTTGCTGGCTGGGCCAGCATTTATAGCCCACCCCTCATTGTCCTTAAGAAGGCAGTAATGAACTGCCTTCTTGAACTGCTGCAGTCCATGTGCCATACTACGGCCAAAATGCTGCTAGGGATGCAATTCCAGGATTTCAACCCAGTGACAATGAAGGAATGGCAACATATTTCAAAGTCAGGGTGACGGGTGTCTTGAAAGGGAACTTGCAGTGATGTTCCCACATATCTGTTGCCCTTTTTTGCCTTCATTCGTTCATTCACGGATGTGGGTGTCATTGTCTAGGCAATATTTATTCTCCATCCCCAAGTGTTCAAAGTCAACCACATTGCTGTGGGAGTGAAGCCACATGTAGGCCAGACCAGTTAAAGATGATTTGCTCTACAGGAAGCTGGCATGGATTTGATGGACTGAAAGACTAATATTCAATCATGGTGTGTCTTATTATTGTCCATCTTTAAATGCTCGAGAAGTAGCAGCATGCTGCCTTTTCGAACCACTACAGTTCTTGGGTGTAGGTATACTCAAAATACTACTAGAAAGGGAGTCCAGGATTTGGACCTAGTAATAGGTTTAAAGTTCCAGGTCAGGATGGTGTTTGGCTTGAAAGGGAACTTGCAGGTGGTGGCACTTCTATTCATTTGCTGCTCTTCTCCTTCTCATTGTGGAGGTCCAGGTTTTATAAAGTGCTGTTAAAGAACCTTGTCTAGGCTCCTGCAGTGCATCTTATAAATTGTACATCCTCATGCCACTGCATCTATGAAGGGAGTGAATGTGGAAGACAGGGGAGTGGGGTACCAATCAAGTGGGTGCTTTGCCTTGTATAGTGTTGAACTGGAGTACTGTTTGATTTGCATACAAAAGAGCGAGCAGATACTCATGAGGTGTTCCATGCAGATGGTGGCAGGCTTTAAGAGGACAGGAGTGCAGTTATTCTCTGCACATCATCTAGACCTCCTTCTCTGCCGCAAATCACTCTAAATGGTTCTGAATGGTGTCAAACCTAAAATCACTGAAATTCATCAAATCTTGTGTTTTTAAACAAAGCAGAGTGAGGGGTATGCGATCAGTTAACAAACCTTTTTTCCTTAAAGTACATCCCGAAAACCCCAGTTTCTTAGTTTAACTGTGCAGTTCCGAAAGCGGTGTCGATCTATACAGACTGCACAAATCCTGAGTTCAATCCCCTTTCTATGCAATGAATGAAATGCAGCCTAAGCAGTGGTAGAGATCTTCAATCTGGCAGCAGTACTCTTTGAACCACACTTTAACAAACGTCAAGTCGAGATTTCAGGAAAGGAGTAACCCCAGCGAAGGACATAACATTCAGGGGTAATGGAAGAAAATAAATAAATAAGTGGGTAATATAAAATTCTGACTCGAGTAATAAGTTCCACAATGCACATGATATTACAGGACTCAAACAAATTGCTCACCAGCATGTCCAGTCATTTGCGAGAGCTGTATAGGAGCTTTCAACAGCACATTTGATTTTGATGAGTTGGATGTATTGCTGCCAAGTAAAAGCAAAGAGTTATGTTAGCATTGAGTCTTGGTGACACAAAAGTAACATGCCACTGGTCCCAACCATTAACGTGCAGAGATGCTGGATTTTGAACATTTATAACAGTAAATCATTACATTTACACAATTATAAAAATGTCATCGCAGAAATTTGACAAAGTTGCAATGTTGCACATAGAAGTTCCTTTTATTAATGAGGCACATTTTCTATGAATCACATCTTCACCCATTATAGAATCAATAATCAATGGGTTCTGAGGCAGGGTCACCAGACCCAAAACGTTAACTGTTTTTTTCTTCACAGATGCTGCCAGACTTGCTGAGCTTTTCCAGCAACTTTGTTTTTGTTCCTAATTTACAGCATCCACAGTTCTGTTTTTTTAATTACAAAATTAATGAATCTTTGACTTTAGCCCACGATCCCTCCAGTTATGAGGCTGAACTGCACTAATTCTCTCTCTCTCTATTGAGAAATGTTGTTACGGTGGCATTACTGGTGCAAAGGATTAATATTATTTTACCAACAACTTAATGTTTGCACAAATTGAGGCATTCTGTTCAGCTTCTACAAATTGATGCACCTCCGGTCTCTGCTCACCACCTCATACTTACTTACAACAGATGAATAGAGCATTCTGTCCTCTGATGTTTGCATTCCACACAAGATTCCTCCCATTCTGCTTACTTTCTTCCCCCCACTGTCCCCATTTCAATATTTCCTTCTCCCTCCTATGCTGAAAAATGCATCAAATCTCTGATTTAAACAGACCTGTGGCAGAAAATTAATAAAGAAATGGGTAATATAAAAGACTGACTCAAACAATAAAGTTCCACAATGCACAATCTACATAAAAGACAAAATCCTCCTAAATCCTCTACCTGACCTCTTAGTGGCTCTTTTGTGTTTATGCCCTCTTGTACTGGGCTCATTCACAAGTGGGTGTGGCTGCAGATGAGGAGGGATAATAGTAATAGTTAGACGATAAATAGTTAAACATCAACTGGCAAAACATTGATGTTAGTGAGGAATTTTTAACAGTCCAGGTTGACAGGATGGTCAAATGTACGGTAGATGGCGTTCTCATAACAGATGTGCAGAATGATAGGGAGGATGATCGTTAAGAGGTAACTCAATAAGGCTACTAGCCTAATTCTGCTCCTGTATCTTATTGTCTTAAAAGAAGTCCCAAGATGAGAGATAGTGAGAACTGTAGATGTTGGAGTCAGAGATAACACAGTATGGAGCTGGAGGAAGACAGTAGGCCAAGAAGCAGAGGAGCAGGAAAGTTGACATTGCAGGTCGGGACTCTTCTTCAGAAATGGAGAGGGGGAAGGGAGCTCAGAAATAAAGAGAGAGAGGAGGGGTGGGGCAGGGGAAAGTAGGTGGGATGGTGATGGGTGAGTGCAGATAGGCAGTGGTGGAGATTGATCAGTGATGTGGGAACGGCTGATAGGTGGGAGTGAAAATGGACAAGTTGCATCAGGTCAAGGAGGCAGGGATGAGAGGGAGGGTTGGGGATGAGGCGGGAAGATTTTGAAACTGGTAAAATCCATATTTAGGCAATTGGGGGAAAAAGGCTCCCAAAGCAGAATATGAGGTGCTGCTCCTCCAGTTTGCAGGTGGCGTCATTGTGATACTGGAGGTGGCCCAGGATGGGGGTGGGGGGGGAAGGGGGCGGAGTGGTGGGGGGGGAGGGGGGCGGAGGAGGAGTTGGGGGGAGGTGTTGAAATGGTTCATGACTAAAAGCCCTCCGCTTCTTCCTCTCCCGCAGGCCCAACCAGTCCCCCTCCACCGACACCCTCATCCGCTTAACAGAACTCAGCTTCATTGAACTCCTCCCACTTCCTACAGACTAAAGGGGTGGCCACGGGAACCCGCATGGGTCCCAGCTATGCCTGCCTCTTCGTAGGTTACGTGGAACAGTCCCTCTTCTGCTGCCACACTGGCACTATCCCCCACCTCTTGGTCTGCTACATCGATGATTGTATCAGCGTTGCCTTGTGCTCCCACAAGGTGCTTCAACAATTCATTAACTTTACTAACACCTTTCACCCCAACCTTAAATTCACCTGGACCATCTCCAATACCTCCCTCTCCTTCCTGGACCCCTGTGTCTCCATCTCTGATGACCGCCTTGAAACCGATATCTATTTCAAGCCCACCAACTCCCACAGGTACCTAGACTACACCGCCTCTCACCCACCTTCCTGCAAGGATATGATCCCCTACTCCGCCGCATCTGCTCCCAAGATGGGGCATTCTACTCCCGAACATTCCTGATGTCCTCCTATTTCAAGGACTGCAACTTCCCCCCTTCGGCTGTCGAAAATGCTCTCCACTGCATCTCTTGCATTTCCCATACCTCTGCCCTCACATCCCCTGCCCCCAACAAAAACAAAGACAGAACCCCACCTCGTCCTCACATATCACCCCAGCAACCTCCATATCCAACATATCATTCTCCGCCACCTACAATCCGACCCCACAACCAAAGATACATTTCCCTCCCCACCCCTAACCACCTTTCGTAGGGACTGCTCTCTCCACGACTCCCTCATTCCTGCAACTGCAGGAAGTGCTACACCTGCCCCTACACCTCTCCCTTCACCTCCATTCAAGGCACCAAGCAAACTTTCCACATTAGACAGAGGCTCACCTGCACATCCATCAACGTGGTCTATTGCATCCACTGCTCCCGATGTGGCCTCCTCTATATCAGTTAGACCAAGCAGAGGCTCGGAGACCACTTTGTAGAGCGCCTGCGCTCTGTTCGCAACAAATGACAACACCTTCCAGTCGCAAACCATTTCAGCTCCCCCTCCTACTCCCTGGGTGGTGTGTCCATCCTGGGCCTCCTCCAGTGTCACAATGGCACCACCCACAAACTGAAGGAGCAGCACCTCATATTCCGCCTTGGCAGCCTACAGCCCAATGGCCTAGATGTGGATTTTACCAGTTTCAAAATCTCCCCACCTCATCCCATGACCAACCCTCCCTTTCATCCCCACCTCCTTGGCTTGACACAACCTGTCCATCTTCTCAGAGATAGCAGGAACTGCAGATGCTGGAGAATCTGAGATAACAAGGTGTAGAGCTGGATGAACACAGCAGGCCAAGCAGCATCAGAGGAGCAGGAAGGCTTCCTGCTCCTCTGATGCTGCTTGGCCTGTTCTGTCCATCTTCTCTCCCACCTATTCCACCCTTCCCACCACTTCCTACCTGCATTCACCCATCACCATCCCACCTACCTTCCCCAGCCTCACCCCTCCCCATTTCTGAAGACGGGCCCCGAAACATCAACTTTCCTGCTCCTCTGATGCTGTCTGGCCTACTGTCTTCCTCCAGCTCCACACTGTTATCCCAAGATGACAGGTTTTGATAAGAGAGATACGGCAGGTTGTTCAATAACGGGACATAAATTTAAAATTGCTGGCAATGGTTTAGAACGGAAGAAAGAAGAAATTCTTTCAGCGTTGTCAGGATCTGAAATGAAATTGGTATAAGCTGATTTCATAAATTTTAAAAAGGGATTTGTAGAGGTACTTGAGGAGGAGGAAAAATGGGGAAGTGGGACTAAATACAACTACCCTTTCAAAAGGAGCAACACAGAAACAATGGGCTTAACAGCCTCATGGCGTATATGAAGTACCAATAATTCTGAGAGGTGGAATCAGTTTCTCCACAGCCACCTCAGTGAACCTCCCATAATCTAAGTGGCCACAAGCAAATCTCCTCCTGGGCCTTCACTTTAATGGCAAAAACATTTCCCATTTCTAGGAGGTAGTGGCTCAGTGGTAACTTCACAGAACTAGATCCAGAGACCTCAACTAATGCTTTAGGGAAATGGGTTTAAATCCCACCGCAGCAGATGGTGAAATTTGAATACAATAAAATCAGGAATTGAAAGCCAACTTAACGGCGAGTAAGTAACCACGGTGAATAGAGTTTTAACATCAATGCCCTTTCAGGAGGAAGTCAGCCATCTTTATTTCATCCAGCCGTCAAGGGACTCCTGATGCAAAGCAATGAGGCTGACTCTTAACTGTCTCCTGGGGAGTTAGGGATGGTCAATAAATGCTGGCTTAGCCTTCGATGCCCACACCCAGTGAATGAATTTAAAAAAAAAACAAAAACGTGCAGCCCAATATCCCAGTAAGGAACTCGAGGAGCTGCAAACCTTTCGTATACTGTTGCCCCCACCCCCATAGTGCAAAGACTAAAGTGCAATATCAGCCCATATCCCAGACTCTCTGCCAGCCAAACACTACCTCACACATTAGAATCTTGTGGCTAGAAATTAAACATGCTCCCTGCTCATATCATTCAACTATACGTCACCAAGAGGAATCTCAAACTCTCATCCACACCATCCACTCCCACTCGGTCTCAGTGCCCCAAAAAACAGTTAAGCACTCTACTTTGTCAATTTAAATTCCTCCACAAGCCTCTGATTCCTGTTCACGTCTTCCGATTTCCCAGCACCAACCTGCCTCATTTTTTCCTTCTGCTCAATCCTTCAACAGTGGTTTCTTCTTTCAGCCAGCCTACAGCACCACCTACTAGTCTGCCCAATCTCTCTGCCTCACCTGCGACTACCTTTCTTACGATGGATTTCACTGAATCTCCAATTTCATTCTTTACGCAATGTGGAGAAACGCATATACTCACATGCAACAATGGAAAAATTTGATTTAAAAAACTAATAGAATTTGCACCTTAATGATTTTTCCACTTTCTGTAACAGAAATATTAGCTTATACTGGGCAACAGCTCAATGTTGCATAGTTACAAAGGATAAAAGTTATCACATCATTGTGGTAATGCATGCCCATTGAACAAGGCACAAGTGTGTTATATCTACCATGTTGTGTGTTGACAAGTTGGAATGGTTTCTGACAGTGGGGTTTTAAAGGAGTTTTATTTCCAACTACTTAATATTTTTCACTTTGCTGACAAAACATCATGACATAAAAGTACGAAAGAAAACATTTACTCACAGTTTAAGGGTGTTAAACATTTTTTGACAAATCTCTCGTACATCATCTTTATTTTTTGAGACTGACACCTCTTGCAGAACATCACCAATTGCTTCAAAAATTTCATCAACTGATTCAAAATCAGCAGCACTGCTATCCAGAACACCTGAGGAAAACAATATCTCATTCTTAAGTGTTCTAATGAAGTTAGAAAGGCAAGCATAACAAGTATAAACACAAATGTGTCAAATTGCATACCTTACTGTAAACTTTCACCAAATATGACACCTAATTACCAAAAGTTAGTACTGCCAGTTAAATTTCAGTGTATTACAGTGCTTGGTGTATTGAATTATCATAAGTTTTCCACTGTCACTGTGAATAAAACAGCATAATTATAGAAATTGTCCTTTTAAACTTGCATTGTGCTGGACAGGTTCAGGTACAGGTCTGTCACTGTATAACATTAGGATACAGTACTGGTGAGCGCATGTCTGCTATTGTATGATACTTGGACACGGCACTGGAGGAGACAGGTCTAACACTGCCTGACTCTGGCAGAAGGTACAGGTAGTTACAATTTTGAGTTACATAAGATCGGCATAGAAGTTAAAGGGACCAGTCTGTCTTTGTAAAAAAAAAACAAGTACAGCTCTGCTATCTTTGATAGCAGTGATCAGTAATTTGAGGCAATGTTTAAAATATTCCTTGTTTAAAATATAAACATGTACAAGCAGTAGGAATCAATCATTTAGGACCAATAAAATGAAAAACAAATGACATGCATATTGGATAAATGAAAGAAATATTGTTGATACAGTCAACATACATCACTTGGTGTTGCATTGATTGCTCATTGCTCAGTCCAACTGTAAAGATTCCTGATTGCTAGTTACCAACTCCATTTCACCTTGCCAACAGTCTGGAATCAATCTGTTCATCTGTAAACTAGTCCATTCACAACCTTACTGTCACATTTTATTCCAAGTTTTTAACTTCATATATTTGACATTAACAAGACTGCCCATTTCCACCTGTTTCACTCCTTTCACTGCATCCTTGTCTCAGCTTACGTTGCTAAAAATTCATTGACCTAAACTCTTGACTCAACTATTCCAGCACACTCCTAGTGGAAGTCTCCCATTCATTCTCACACCTCTGTGAGCTACCCATGTTTTAAATCGTCCTGAGTCACAGTCTCTATCATTTCTCATTGACCTAAACTAACAAGTAACCAACTGACTTAAAAAGTCGGTTTTCAAATCCCTCCATGGCCTTGCCCCTCTAATTCCTTTCATCTCCTCCAACCAACAACTCTTTATTAGATCTGCATTCCTCTAGACCAGGCCTCTTGAAGATTCCCAAATCAGAAGCATCACACTGGTGGCTGCTCTTTCAGCTGCCTCTGCCTCAAACACTAGATTACCGTCCCGACGTAACTGGTCTCTCTATGTTGCTTTTCTCATTTAAGATACTCCTTAAAAGCTCTTTGACCAAGCTCTTAGTCATTGTGACCAATATCACTTTATGCCGGAATATCATACTTTGTTTTAAATGCCTCCATCGAGCACCTTGGGATGATTCGTTATGTTAAAAATACCGTAAGTTTCTTTCGCTGAGGAACAGTGTAAAGCCTTTCCAATAGCTAGGTGCATCCATCAATAACATTGGTTTTTTTCATGTAATCCTTGATCATTTTTGCAGAAACTTAATTTCTAGAGTCAGGAATATATTCCATGTGGATCCAAATATGCGAGAAGGAGCCTGGAGTTTAGTCAATTTTGGCTGAAAGGTCACAAAAGTTTCAAAAATTATAACAACTTGCCAAAAAATTTCATCAAAACTTCATGGATAGCCCTGGAAAATTGTTCATGGCATATCATCCCTGGGCCTAACAAAATGAACTTCAATTTGAGAAGGACAGGAGGGACATTCCCTTTTTCATCAAAACTATTTACGTGATATTATGTAAATGTAAGATTGCCAAACTAACAGTAATGTAATTGATAGCAAACAGCAGCACATTGCTTCAAGATTCAACATTACATTTACACCAGCTGCGATGTACTATCAGCATCAGGGAGACAATGTTATTGTTGAGTATATGGCCATTCCATAATTTATCATTGATAACTTCATACGTTTAGGTTCCACAATCACACTCAATCTCTCAGTGTGGAAATCAACAAGTTCATTACAAAAATTGCAGCTGTTATGTCTAAAGCTACATCATACGTGGACTGAGAACACTAAATTACAAGGTTACTGAGCATATGTCCTCAGAGGACTCCTCCAGCAGTCAGACTGGATGACAGACTATGGAGCAACGTTCTCTGTAAGCTACATGCACACATGACCATGCAGAAGCTTTTAAATAAAACCATGCATACAATTGCAAACACTATCATTTTATCTTCCGTATCTTTGATTGTGGTCTAAAATGGAAAAAAAGAACCGTTTTAAACCAAAGACAATGGAAGGAATCGCACCACTTGTAACAACAAGTTGCTGAAACTCATTGTGTGAGATGTTTAGACTGCTGCTTTTTTCAGGCAGCAGGGGAAGATGTTTGTAGAAGCACAACACCACCATGTGCAATCAGGGTGAAAGTTGGTGGAATGTTACACTTCAAAGGGGTAGTGAATGGGAATTCTAGCCCCACATTCCCAGAGTTGCCACAAAAATTGTAAAACTTTATCAAAATACACAAAGTTGAGTCTATCATAGATAAATTGAGAATCAACAGAAAACTTGGACTAGATTTCTGTATCACAGTTATTTACCTGTGGTTAGAATTTACTGTGAACAGACATATAATTCTGCTAGTTAAAACACTAAACCCCTTCTGAACCTACCCCCTCTGAATACAGACAAAAAGGAATTGTGTTATGCGTGAAGTGTAAATACAGTTCAATAGCACAGATCTTCAGGATTCAATGGCCGCTCCTTTTGTTTCCCTCAGTCCTTCAGTTATGTGACTTTTTTCTTCAGGTTTTCACTTCTTCACCATACCATTCACACCCACAACTGTTCAGCTACCTAAGAATCACAGGGGTCTTGCCAGGTATATGACCATTGGCATCCACAACTGATCACAATTCTGCTATCACCAGCAGAATAGTGAACCTTCATTGCACTTCCTCCATGACAAGTAGATTATCTCTTAGGTAGGGAGACCAAAACTGCGCACACTACTCCCGGTGTGGCATCACTAAGGCTCTGTGTAACTGCAGTAAGACATTCTTACTTCAGGGAGCAAATCCTCTTGCAACAAAGGCCAACATACCAATTCCCCTCCTAACTGCTTGCTGCAGTTGGCTGTTTACTTTCATGTACTGGTGTACAAGGATTCCCAGATCCCTTTACGCATCAACATTTCCCAATCTATCACCATTTAAATAATACTCTGCCTTTCTGTTTTTTCACACAAAGGTGTGATTTTACGCTAATCCATTCATATCTCTTCTGCAACATGTTGGCCCACACACTCAGCTAATTGAGTTCATCCTCCTCACAACTCTCAATCCTACCTAACTTGTTGTTGTCAGTAAACTTGAAAATCATCCAAGTCATTCATATCTACTTGGTACCCCAACATTGATTCTTGTGGTGCACCACTCACTACTATCTGCCACCTTGGAAAAAAAAACACATTTATTCCCAACATTTCCTGTCAATCTATTCTCAATTCATGCCAGTATATTACACACACAATCACGCATGCCTTGGTTCTGCCAATTAGTATCTTATGTGGGACCTTTTAAAAGCCTTCTTGAAATCCAAATCATATCTACTGGTTCTCCCTTATCAATTCTACTAGTTACATACTCAAAGTTTCAGTAGATTAGTTAAGCATGATTTCCCTTTTTTTTTTATAAACCAATGCTGACTTTGTCTAATTCAGTTAAAACTTGCCAAGTGTTCTGTTAGCACAGCTTTTAAAATAGACACTGGCATTTCCCCCACGACCGTGGTATGCAATTCTCTTATGTTTCTTCTCTCCCTCCTTTTTTTTAAAATAGTGGGATAACATCTGCCACCCTTCAATCTGTAGGAATTGTTCCAGAATCTATTCTGGAAATTGGATACTAATGTATCCAATATTTTCAGGACCACTTCATTCAGTATTCTGAGATGCAGATTAACCAAGTGCTAGGACATTAATGTTATTAAAGCGAGCATATTATTTTAAAATAAACCAATTTTCTTCAATTCCTCCATCTCAAGACCCTTAGTTCTTTAACATTTCTAGGAAATTATCTGTGCCCTCTTTAATGAAGACTGAACTAACATGCATGTTCAGTCTTCTGCCATTTCTTTTTCTCCACTATAATTTATCCCATATGCATTTGTTTTCACTAATCATTTTCTCTGCACGTTTATAGAAGCTTTTACAGTCACTTTTGTTCCTGCAAGTTTATCTTCATACTCTATTCTTCCCTTCGATCATCTTTTTTATTCTTTGTCAAATTCTAAACTGCTTCCAGTCCTTGGGTTTGCTATTTTAGGCAATTTTATAACCTTGTCTTTATTTCTAATACGATCCCCAATTTCTTCTATAAGCCATGGTTGAGCCACCTTTCCTGTTTTATTTTTGCGATAGAAATGAATAACTGCTGTTAATTCATGCATATGTTGCTTAAATATTAACCATTGCCTATCCTCTGCCAACCCTTTTGGTAAAGTTCCTCACTCAATCATTGCCAACTTATGCCTTATACCTTCACAACTTTCTTTTTTTGGATTCAAGATCCTAGTTCCTAGTTCCTGACTCAACTTTACTTTCCATCTTAAATGAACAATTCTCTTTTTTTGGTCACCTTTCCCCAACAGAATCGCACAAAAAGACTGTTAATTAATCTTTTTGCATTGCACAATACCCAGTCTTGTTTAGCTTGCTGTCTAGTTAATTCCTCAATGTATTGATCATGTATACATTCCATGAAATCCTCCTCCGCAGTATTATTGCTCATTTGGCTTGTTCAATCTATATAAAGTCACCCACGATTATAGTTGTACCCTCATTGCATGTATCTCTACATTCCAGTCTAATCACTTCCCTTAAATTTCTGCAACCCATGGAGGCCGATAGATAGCCCCCACCCAAGATAACTTGCCATAATAAAAATACGCTGACTGTCTTCAATTTACCATCTATTTTATCAT